TTTTCTGGAGTTAGCAGGCTTTCATCTAATGTGTCTCTGTGGGGTTGAAATGGGAACCTTCTCCCACCTCTGTATCCTGGCCATTCTGATGCTTTCAACAAACGCAGTTCTAAAAAATGACATTCCTAGCCTCTTCCTATCTGTGCTGTCCATCCGTATCTGCAAGGGGCTGTGCCTCCTCGTCGGATGCTTCCTCACTTCTCCCCCCTTGAACCCATGTCTTTTCTGCGAGCTACCATCTCCAAGTGGATTTAGGCTGAGAGGCACTCCTGGGGAATAGGTAGAACACTCTTCCTCCAGAGCAGCTGTGCAAGAGAGTGATGGCTATATGCATTGTCCGGTTGACAAAGACCTTGCCTTTTTTTAAGGGTCAGACAGTGGGAGGAGGGATAAAAGATCTTTCAAGTTATTTTTAGGATGGGAGGCAGGGTCACTCTGTGGGCACCGTAGCCTGGGGGTTCACTACAATTGCACTTTTCAATCTAGTTTCACTGGTTTTCTCCTAGGTGGAGATATAGCACTCCACCACCCTCCCCCATTCCGGCAATCAGCTGTCAAGACTAGTTTATGGCAGTGTTCTAGGTTTTCTTTCTTTCTTTCTTTCTTTTTTTTTTAAAGATTTTATTTATTTATTTGACAGAGAGAGACACAGCGAGAGAGGGAACACAAGCAGGGGGAATGGGAGAGGGGAAGCAGACTCCCCGCTGAGCAGGGAGCCCGATGTGGGACTCGATCCCAGGACCCTGGGATCATGACCTGAGCCGAAGGCAGTCGCTTAACTGACTGAGCCACCCAGGCGCCCAGTGTTCTAGGTTTTCAATTCTTTCTGTACCTTTATGTTTTAATTAGAATTTGAGAGAGACTGGAGGGTGGGGGCTGCTAGATGGTTACCATTTACAACTAGAAGCCATCTTTATGCACTCTTCAAAGAGTGAGCTATAAACGCCCCGTCTCCACTTCCTTGGCCCATCGCCACCTGGTATCTGCTTCCCTCAATCCCCTGAAGTCACCAGGACCCTCCACTTTGTTAAAGCCAGAGGGCACTTTGAATCATGGTCTTACCCTGTCTCTTCTCAGCAGATGACACTGTCAACCATGGGTTCCTCTTGGGGGTAAGCCTGCATGGCGTGCGTGCTCTGTGTCGTGTATCGTGCTAAGCTCTTCATATACATGACTTCATAAAATTCTCACAGTGAGCCTAACGAGGTCATCATTCTTTCCATTCTACACGTGAGGAAACAGAGGCTCTTGCTCATGGACCAATAGCTCATAACCGGAAGAGTCAGAAGGGAACCTTCTTAAATGCTCTCTTCCCTGGGCTTCTGTGATCTCATTTGCTCCTGGTTTTCCTGCTACCTCTCTGGTTCCTCATTTTTGAGCTCCTCTTCCTTTACCTGCCTCTTAAATTAAATGCTTGTTTCCTAAGAGCTTTTCTTTCTCTTTCTCTGCATCCTCCTGGGCAGCTTCATCCAGTCACCCTCTGATGGCTCTTGGATCTTCATTTCATTCCCAGATGCCTTTTGTGAGCCCTGAAACCACCTATCCAGCTGCCTGTCCAGTATCTTCTCTTGGAAACCCCTCTATTCAACACACCTAAAGTGAGGCCATGATCTTACCTCCCAGTAACTTGGTGGTCCCTGCCTCAGATCAGGCATTATTACCTTTTTTTTTTAGTTCAGTACTGTCCATTCAACATTATCTAGACTAGTGATTCTCAAAGTTGTCTGCACATTGGAATCACCGAGAAGATTAAAAAAAGAAAAAGATACTAATGCCTGAGTCCTTCTCTATAAAGACGATTTAATTGTTTTGGGTTGTGTGACCTGGGCATCAATATTTTTTTTTATTGTGGGGAAAGAAATATATAAAATTTACCAACTTAACCATTTTTAAGTGTATAGTATACAGTAGTGTTAACTATATGCACATCCTTGTGCAGCAGACCTCTGAACTCTTTCATCTTGCAAAACTCATACTCTGCACCCATTGAACAAAAACTCTTTGTTTTTGAACAAAAGCTCTTTGCCCTCTTTCCCCCCATTCTACCTTCTGTTTCTAAGCTTGATGACTGTAGATGACTCATAAAGTGGAATCATGAAGTATTTGTCTTTTTGTGACTGGCTTATCACTTGGCATCACGTCCTCCAAGTTCATTCATGTCATAGCCTGTGACAGGATTTCCTTTTTTTTTTTTTTTTCTTCTGAATGAGTTCATTCAGAAAAACTGTACGTCTATATCACATTTTCTTTTTTTCTCCAGCTTTATTGAGATATAATTGACATATAACTTGTATAAGTTTAAGGTGTACAATGTGATGATTTGGTATATGTATATATTGTAGAATGATTACCATGATATGGTTAGTTAACACATCCATCACCTCTCAGAGTTACTGTGTGTGTGTGTGTGATGAGAACGCTTAAGATCTCTTAGCAATTTTCAAGTATATGACACAGCATTGTTGGCTAGAGTCACCCTGCTGCTGTACATTAGATCCCTAGAACTTATTCATCTTCTGACTGGAAGTTTGTACCCTTTGACCAACATCTCCCATTTCCCCCAGCCCCTAGCCCTTGGCAACCACCAGTCTACTCTCTGTTTCTATGAGTTTGGTTTTTTTAGATTCCACATATAAGTGAAATCATGCAGTATTCGTCTTTGTCTTTCTTATTTCACTTAACCTAATGCCTTCAGAGTTTATCCATGTTCTTTTTTTTTTTTAAAGATTTTTATTTAATTATTTGACAGAGAGAGACACAGCGAGAGAGGGAACACAAGCAGGGGGAGTGGGAGAGGGAGAAGCAGGCTTCCCGCTGAGCAGGGAGCCCGATGCGGGGCTCGATCCCAGGACCTGGGATCATGACCTGAGCCGAAGGCAGATGCTTAACTGACTGAGCCACCCAGGTACCCCCTCTTTTCTTTTTTTTAATATATTTTTAAAATTGATTACTTGAGGGGGGAGGGACAAAGGGGTAAGGGAGGGAAAGAGAGAGACTCTCAAGCAGACTCCGTGCTGAGTGCAGAGCCTGTTGTGAGGCCCGATCTCATGACCCTGAGATCATGACCTGAGCTGAAATCAAGAGTCAAACACTTAGCCGACTGAGCCACCCAGGTGTCCTTTAAATATATTTTTATTATTTTATTTAAGTAGGCTCCATGCCCTGCATGGAGCACAATGCAGGGCTCAAACTCACGACCCTGAGATCAAGACTTCGGAGCTGAGATCAAGTTGTTGGATACAGAGACACCTTGGTGGCTCAGGCAGTTGAGTGTCCGGACTCTTGATTTCTCCTCAGGTCATTATCTCAGGGTTGTGAGATAGAGCCCTGCGCCACGCTCTGTGCTCAGCAGGGAGTCCACTTGGAATTCTCTCTCTCCCTCCCTCCTTTACCCTCTGCCCTTCCCCCTGTGCTCTCTCTCTCTCACTCTCCCTTTAAAATAAATAAATATATCTTAAAAAAAAAAAAAAAGAAGAGTCAGACACTTAACCGACTGGCCACCTAGGCACCCTCCTCTCTATTTTCTTCCAGGAGTTTTATAGTTTCAGGTCTCATATTTAGGTCTGTAATTTATTTCATGTTAGATTTTGTATGTGGTATAAGGTAAGGGTCCAAATTCATTCTTTGCATGTGGATAATCAGTTTTCCCAGCACTGTTTGTTGAAAAGACTGTCCTTTCCCCAGTGTGTCAGCTTGGCACTCTTGTCAAAAATCATTAGACTGTGCGTGTGAGGGTTTATTTCTGGGCTCTCTATTCTGTTCAGTTGGTCTGTATTTCTGTCTCTATACCAGTACCAAACTGTTTTGATTATGGTGGCTTTGTAATGTTTTTGAAGTCAAAAAGTGTGAGGCCTCTAGCCTTGTTTTTCTTTTTCAAGGTCATATTGCTATTCATGGTCCTTTGATTTTTCCATATGAATTTTAGGATTTCTATTTCTGCAAAAAAACATCTTTGAGATTTTGATGGGAATTGAGTTGAATTTGTAGGTCACTTTGGGTAGCATGGACATTGTAACAATATTAAGTGTTCTACTTCATAAACACGATGTCTTTCCATTTATTCGTGTCTTCTTTAATTTCTTTCAGCAATGTTTTCTCGTTTTTCATTAACTTTATTCCTAAGTATTTTATTCTTTTTGCTGCAATTGTATATGGGATTGTTTTCTTCATTTCCTGTTCGGATTGTCCATTGTTAGTGTGTGGGAACACGACTGATTTTTGTGTGTTGACTTTGTATCCTGCATCTTTGCTGTCTTCATTTATTAGTTCTAACGGTGTTTTTGTGGAATTTTTAGGATTTTCTACGTATAAGAATATGTCACCTGTGGACTGAAATAATTGTACTTCTTTCTTTCCAATCTCAATGCCTTTTATTTCTTTCTCTTGCCCTAAGCTCTCTGGCTAGGACTTCTGTATATGTTAAATTGAAGTGGCAAGTGTGGACATCCTTGCCTTGGTCCTGATCTTCAAGTGAAGGCTTTCAGTTTTCCACCTTTGAGCATGTTGGCTGTGGCTTTTCATATATGGTCTTTATTATGACGAGGTAGTTTCCTGCGGTCCCTAGTGCGTCCAGCGTATTGCCTCTCGACCAGACCGTCAGAGTAGCTAAGTAGGTTGTTTTCCTGCCTCCTATGCTCTTTAATGTCTCCAAACCACAGAGAGTGTAGAAAGGACCTGGGAGATTAGAACCAGCCACCACTAGGGCAGCTGGAGTGCAGGGGGTGGGCAAGCAGCAGGTGGCTTGGGCACCCCCTACCCCCCCCCCCCATCCCTCCCTTCCTCGCAGAGACCCGGGAAGCTGAGAGCTGTGGGGTGAGAGCGGCCTCCCTTCCCTCTGGTCTCTGGACTCAACAGCTCAGACCCCGCCCCTCAGAGCCTCTGGCCCCGCCCCACCCACCTGGCCCCGCCCCCACTCCCTGCATGCCTCGCCTTTCCAGCGCCCACAGGGGCCCTGACCCACAGTGGGATCCCGTGGAGAACCCGGCGTTACTTACTTTCAGCGCCCTGGGAGGAGGATGAGATCCGCAGGGACCGAGTGGAGCCCCAGAGTGTGTCCCTGTCGTGGCGGGAGCCCATCCCCGTCGGAGCTCCGGGGGTTAACGGCACCGAATACGAGATCCGATACTACGAGAAGGTGAGGCGGGGTCTGGGCGGGACCTGGGTCTGCGTTCAGGGGCTGTGGTCTGTCTCCAGCAGCCGCTTCCTTTTCTACCTTCTGGCCGCAAAAAGTCCTCCTTACTTTCTTTGTGAACATAGCCACCGGCCTCCTAAGGCCTGAGTTTCTTCCTGTCCCCTCCACTCCGTGCATGGACCCCACTGCTCATCCGCTGTCCCCCCTCTCTGCTCCTCACCAGTCATCAGCTCCATTGTCACCACTTTTGCCTGGTGTTTACAGTTGACTAAGAGCTTTCCCTGGGGGCTGATCCAGGTCTTGCGTGGTCAGACCATATACATACAATTTGCAACCCTTTTTAAGAAAAAGAATGCAGAAATACCATATTGTTTCAAAATTTACAAACATGTCTGACCTAGGTCAGGTGGTCCACTGGAACTTGGCCGTGTGCTGGTAAATGTTTAACATCCTGCTCTCCAGAACAATGAATGGATGTATGAATTATTTTTATAGTTTTACTGATATACAGGATGTGTAATGCATCGTTTACAGATAAGAAGAAAAGATATACAGTGTCCTTATTGTAAACTCCATCTAGCCGATTGATCCTTATAGGATGCTTTTGCCAATTTTTGCTGACTTCTTGTATCTGTTGTCAATCTACGGTTGCAGTTCAACCTCGACTTGACAAATGGAGATATGTCCCAATCCACTATCTCTTTTCCCCATAAATTTATCATCTTTAAATGTGATATGTAATCTACTGTTAAAGTGTTTCTCACCTTGGTGCCAGTTTTCTTCATTCAAGCAAAACCTTGCTTTCATCTTCAGCATGTCATGTGTCAGAACTTCACTCAGCCCTTAGTGACTCGAGGGACTTCTTAGCTGAATCAGATAATAGTTTTTGAATACTGGAAGTCTACTGAGAGCTGTGAGTTGGGGGTGGGTGGGGAGTGAACACGAAGGAGGAGGGACTCCTGAGTCACTGCTGGGAGATCTAGGGATGGGGTGCCATCCATGGAGGAGGAGAAGCCTGTCTGGGCTCAGAGGGTGAGCTGGGGTTGGCCCATGCAACGTTCAGGGGGTCCCTGGTACATCCAGGTGGACTTGGGGGTCTGCAGCTCAAGGCAGAGGCCTATCCTGGAAAAAGAGGTGGGGCCTTTCAGCATAGGGCTGGGAGCTGAATGAAGCCAAGGGCCGGAAGAGAAGGCCAAGAAGGACATTGAGCGTGAGAAGAGGGGCCGAGACAGAGCTCTGAGGAGCCCTGAGGTTTAGGAGACCGCAGAGGACACTGGGAAGGAGCCGTGCACGCAGTCGTTGCTCACAGAGGCCTCACTGAACTGACATGGGGTGGGGGTCAGCGCATAGGAGACAGAGTCCCGAAGCAGAGCTGGGTGGGTGCTCCAGGCCCTAAGGGGCTGTGAATTTGCAGGGAACCAAAACCCTTGAAAAGAGGAGCCTGTACAAAAGGGGTTCCGTGTGAAAGGCTTCAGGGTCATCGCAGGGAAGCCCGGGACCACAAGTCCTGGAGGCATGGTGCTCCTCATCTGCCCTTCTCTGTGCACACCAGTGCCTGTGTCCTCTGCACAGGGGCTTGCTCAGGGCCCATGAGGGCGGCCCAGGACAGCAGCCTTGTTTCTTCGCCCCGCCCTGCCCCTACCCTGCCCGTCTCTCAGAGGTCCCGCCTGCAGCCCCTGTCTCACTGTCTTTCCCTGGGTCGTTCAGATACCTGGAAGAGAGATTCCGACTGGCCCAGTTCAGGTCAGAGTCTTCCCCATTCCTGAATACCATGACCAAAGAACTGGACCACATGATAATGAGGGGCTGTGAGCTTGGCAGGGGCTCTAATAAGGTTGGGGGGGGGGCAGGCAGAGACGAAACGATGGCCGCATCCCCAGTACACACCATTATCAGATGTGCTGGGGGCAGTATGATATAAAGTACGCACGGGACCCAAAGGAATCAAGACAGTGTTGTTCTGACCCTTCCCTGATGCGACTGTCCCCTATAAAGGAAGAGAGAACTACTACTGCGGGTGCTGTAGGTAGCCCCAGGCCTCCGAAGAGTCTAGCTCAGCAGCGGGCAGTGAGCCGGCCCTCCCTCCGTGACAGCTACCGCTGTCCCCACTGTCCAGCAGGGGCCTTGGGCGAGTCTTTCCACCCCTCTGTGCCCCAGTCCTTGTCTGTGAAAACCAGATGACAAAGAGAAGGATCTGTGTGAGCCGACAGGGGCCGGGCAGGTGTCAGGGCTGTTTCTCACTCCTCCGAGGCATCAGGCCCAGCTCACCCTCTGGACCGCGAGGCCCTGACGTCTGTCCTCCGAAGGGGGATCTAGCGTCTTCTCTGGAGTTTCTCTTACTGCTCTTAGCCACAAATACCACTGAGTGTACTTGGGACCTTGGGTGCAGGGAGGGGTTGGAGAGCCTGTGGAAGAAGCCTACGGAGCCCTCCCTAGATGGTCCGAGTCAGGTTCTCCCACCTGGTCCATGCTCGCCTCAGCGCTTCTCCACCCCCCTACTCCTGGCCCCCATCATTCTCCAAGGAGCGCGGGTCTGGCCCTGTGGCTGAGCCTTACTTCTTGGTCCTTCCTCAGGGTCAGAGTGAGCAGACTTACTCCACGGTGAAGACAGGGGCACCTGCAGTCACAGTCACCAACCTGAAGCCGGCTACCCGCTACGTCTTTCAGATCCGGGCAGCTTCCCCGGGGCCCTCCTGGGAGACCCAGAGCTTCAATCCCTCCATTGAAGTGCAGACCCCAGGGGAGGGTAAGTGATGTGTGTATGTAGAGAGGGGCTGAGGTGGGGAGACCAGCTGGGGTGGGGGTGGTTATCCATGCAATTAAGGGAGCCCACAGAACAGTTTAATTACAACCTAAATAATTAATGAATTTGGAATCCATCAACGAGGGCCTATTCAGTGACATGAATTAAATGGGAGGGCCTCGTCCTGGGGGAGCTCACAGGGGAGGGGCTCATGAACAGCTATAAGCCACGTCTCAGCTGGGATCTCCAGCCTCCCAGGACCTCCCGTGTCTTGTAGAAACATCCTGTGCCCTCTCCAAGATTCTTGCTATTTTTCTTGGGAGGAGTTGTAGTCTCATGGTCACTTCTTGCTCCGAAGGCTAAATTCTTTCCCATTCTGCTTCTTTCTCTCTGCCGTGATATAGACTCAAACATGGGATGCCGTCCCTTTCCCCACTCGGCCTTAGAGTGAGAAGCACACTTCACTGAAGGTTGGGGACACAAAGGGGTCGCACCACAGCAATAAACAAAACAAAACAGAGCGAGAGTTGTGCACGTTCAGTGGGGGGATTGTATGGTACGTGAATCATTTCTCCCAATAAAGCTATTATCAAGATGAAACAACAAAACAGAGCAAAAGCTGAACATCAGATGCCCTGATTTTAAAACGGCTCTGGCTTCTCCCCCGTGGTATTATGCTACCCGCTTCCTCCCTTCACCTCCCTCCCCTGGCTCCTCTTCTCTCCACCCCCACCCCCAAATTCCCTTTCATGACGAGAGATGAGCAGCTTAGCTGTGGCTTTGGTGGTTTTGCCTGCTGCGAACCCTGCCCTCAGGGTCTCACCTCTATCTACCCTGAGCAGTTCATGAAAGTATTTTCCCAGACAAAGGCAGTTCCCCCTAAGAGGCATTCTGACACCAGCTGTCAAGATAATAATTCTTTCCAACCTGCTACATGAGTCTAATCCAAGATAGGAAGAGCTGGAGCCCAAAGGGAGGTGGAGATAAAATGTTGAGGGAGTTTGGGTTCTGGGAAGAGAGACAGCGCTTCTCGCTCGAATGCCTGTCTGTGCCAGACCTTGGCCAGGTGCTGGCAGGAGGAGATTAGAGCTCTGTCCTGAAGGCTGGGGAGCATTTGAATGTGTGGAGATGGGCAGAGAAGGCATGTGGGGTAGACGAATCCATCTGAACAAAGGCGCACAGGTTTGGCTGGAGTGAGTGTGGTGGGGGTGGGAGCTGGGGGCTGTTAGCTGAAATGGGCCGATGATTTCCATTCAGTTGGTGCTTCCCAGTGAGTAGACCCTGCTTGGACCCTCGGCCTCCTTGGCTGTGGCCCAGGCTCTGGGGGAACAGGTCTCCCAGTCTGCAGATCCCTTCTTCCAGTGATCTGTGACCCTAACTCAGGAGCACGATTAAGGATCCCGCTTCAGCCCTGTATCAGCTACCCATTGCTGCATAACAAATTACCCCAAACCGAGTAGCTGCAAACAGCCAACATTTGTTCTCTCATGGTTTTTGTGGGCCAGGCATCTGGGTGCAGCTTAACTAGGTGCCATGGGCTCAGGGTCCCTCACAGCTGCAGTTGTCTCAAGGCTCGGGTTCTTGCTGGCTCTTTGCTGGAGGCATGCAGTTCTCTGCCTCTTGGGCTTCTGCCTAGAGCTCCTCATCACACAGCAACTCGATTCTTTCAGAGACTGAGTAAGAGAGAGAGAGAGAGGGTGCCCAAGACAAGCCACAGTCTCTTGTCTGTGACATCCCATCCTTCGGCTGCATTCTCTTCATTAGAAACAAGTCACTATGTCAAGCCCACACTCAAGGGGACTGAATACCAGGAGGTGGGGAATCCAGGGGGCACATCTCATAAGCCACCTGCCACAACCGCCCTGTCTCCATTTCCAGGTCCACATGGACACTTCATTTCAAACAGTTCTTGGCAACGCCACCCACCTCTGCCCCAGCCAGACCCCGGGTCCTTTCCCCACCTCTGGAACCATGGGCTCTAAAGTCCGCTCATTGACCTTGGCCTTGTTGGCGTCTAACTCTCCCTTCCTCCTCTGTCCCTTGTCACTTGACTGTGACATCCTCCTAACAGCCCTGGGGATCCAACCTCAGCTCCCAGGTTCTGAGCCCCTCCTGGCCCCATATCGCCCCAGCCACTGTGGATCCTCCCCGGGGAAATGCTCCCTCACTCCCTGGATGCTGTGTTGTGCCCGCCCTTCTTGTCCTGGAGCCTGGAGCTGGCCTGAGACCTGCGTCCCACGCCTCATCTAATCTCAACGGAGTCTCCAGGACTGCGCAGCATCTCCCCCATTCTCAATAGTTTTCCTAAACATTTCCCCCTCTCTCAGGTACCTCCTGTCCATCCCTGCTTCCAACCCAGCAGATACCTTCATCCCTTTCCCCTCAGGCAGGAACTCTGTCCATTGCTCCCTGGCTCCCTGTCACCCTCAGGATGAAGTCCCTGCTCCTTGGCCTGGCATCCCAGGCCCTTCAGGTGCTGTCTCCTCCCCCCCTCCCCCCCCCATTCCCTTTTTCCTCCCACCATCCAGCTTCACATCTGGCCCCTCTTGGCCTCCATGCGGCCTGTTTTCCCAGCCCCATGGGATGGCTTGCCATTTTCCAGACCCTGCCTGTGCGCCCAAGCACCACCAGAACCTTTCCGAGCTCCCAGGCCCAGTGCAGATGCCACGCCTTTTCTGTGAAGCCTTCCTCACTGGCTTTAGGAAGAAATGAGCGTGTCTCTGCTCAGCTCTCTGTTTCTGTTTTCATTCTACAGTTAGGAATTTTGTTTCTGTCTCCCCCACTGGTCTCTAGCCTCCTCCGGGGCAGGGATTCTGGCTCATTCATCACTGCCTTCCAAGTGCTGGCGCCAGCCTGTCACACATGTTGGATGGATGGAGGGATGGAGGGATGGATAGACGGGGCTGGGAGCCTGCGGTCCTCTAGACCCCTCACTTGGGGAAATAGCTCACAGTAGAGGCTTTTGGAATCAGGCTCAAATCTTAGGTTTACCATTTAGTAGTCGTGGGACCCTGGGCAAACTGCACAACTTTTCTCGATGTCGGTCTTCTCAGCTATAAAATGGAGACACCACCACCTTACTGGCTGGTTGTGACAGTGAAACAGGGTCATTTAGTTAAGGCACGTGGCACAGTATCCTGAGTAAGTGTGCATTCAATGTTACCTTACTGTAATTGGCGGCGGCGGTCCGGATGGGGCCGGGGAGCTCAGGTGAGAGGCCATTCCCCCTGCAGAGCTACATTAAGTCATGCCCATCTGAAAGGCCAAAGGGAGGCCCAGGCCTGCCTGTCTGGACCCCGGGGCCTCTCGCAGAGCTGGACTGCAGGGAGAGGAGGAAGCTCCAAGCGCCCCCGTGGGCCTTCTGCTGTGGGGGCAGGGCAGGAGCCTGCCCTGGGGCGGCCCCCGGAGCCTGGCCCTCGGCCTGCCTCAACCTCCTGCTTTACCCCCAGCTGCCTCAGGGTCCAGGGACCACAACCCTGCGGTCGTCGTCACCGTGGTGACCGTCTCAGCCCTCCTCGTCCTGGGCTCTGTGATGAGCGTGCTGGCCATGTGGAGGAGGTAGGTGGCTGGTCCCGGCTTGGCTGACTCCTGCTGGGTCGTGGCCCTGGGCACACTCACGTGTGCTCACGGCCCCTTTGTCTGTGCGTGCATTCGCACACATGCAGATTTGCGCACGCAAGCATCCTGCGGTGTAGATCCAGGCAGGGCCGGCGCGGTCCCGGCCCCTCCCCCACTTACTGCTCCTGCCGCAGCCGGCGCTGCCTCCAGCTCAGCCCGCGCTGGGATGAAGGGGATTGAGCTCCTTAGCTCGTTAAATGTCAGAAGGCATCACTGAGGATGGAATCAAGCTCCGGCTGCTCCAGTGTGATTAGGATTCTCCTGAGGCGCTCAGAGGCCCCCAGCCCCTGCCCGCAAGGGATCTTGAGGCCCTTGAACACAGGCAAAGGGAAGAAAGGCAGAAACTGTGTGTGGGAGGGGGGAGGCCAGGGAGGGGAACTCATTCACCAGGAGGAAGCTTGCAGGAGAGTGGGCAGAGAAAGGGGGTGGGAGGAGGGGGAAGGATGTGGAGCTCGAGTTTGTTTCAGAGAAGATTCCAGTCCTTTTGCACGCAGCAGAAAGCTCATAGCATGTATTTCCACCTTCTCCCCAGGGCCACACTCTGCTGCATGCAGAGGTACCAGGCTGGGGCTGAGGTCAGCAGACTTGAGGGGTGGAAAGTCTGCATGTGATGGGCCGGGGGCGGGGTGGGGGGGGGAGCAGAGGCGAGCGATGGCTGCTCGGGGAGCCACATCCCAGCACATCTCAGCATCCTGGAACTGCCTGTGGGCTGGAGGGACAGCGAGTATTCACACGGCACTGTTTGCTGGCCTTGACTGGAGCACTGAAAGTGACTAAGGAGGGGAGATCCTTGACCTGGGGGTCTGGGAGCCCCTCTGCCTGGGCCAGGACAGTCAGGGAGGCAGGACAGGAGTAGTAAGCTCCTTTCTGGTGCTTAGACGCCCATATTGGACCTGTTGGGAAAGTAGGAATGGACAGGAGCTGAGAGCCTCTTGTCCTGGCTGGGAGCTTAAGAGCTCAGGGAGGCAGGCGGAGGAACTGGGAGAGAGGGGTATAAGGAGCACCCTTCCGGGCAAGGGCTGTGCAGGACAGGAGTAGCTGCCCAGGAGCACCTCGGAGACAGATGCACTAGGGCAGGTCGAGGAAGCCAGGGGTCGGTCTCAAAACCTGCTCAAAATCCCGTGGCACGGAAACAGGGAGAATCTGCGGGTCAGGTGCCGATGGGCATGTCCAGCCAGCCTCACAGGCTGACCTCTCTCTGAGTCCCTGCAGAACTTGCCCTCTGCGGGGTCTCCTCCCCTCTGCTTTCCGTCCCCACCCCATCCTGGCTCATTCCACTTCTCACCAGAGGGTGTTGTCTGGTGGAAGCTTCTCGGTTTCTCTGCCACTCCTCCATCCGCTCGGCCTTGCCCCCTTTCTCTCTACCCACCTTTCCTGGATGTTCTCATTCATGGGAAGTCCTGTCACCACTCTGGGTGACTTCAGTGCCCTTGGTAACCTGTCCCACCCCTTCGCTTCTTGGTTCTTTGACTTCCTCATTCCCAAGGACCTTCTGTTCCGTTCCACCCCGGCCTCCCTCTCCCGTATCCTGCCATGGACCTCGCCATCACCCCAAATACTCTGTCCAGCTGGCCTTTCCACTCATGCCCCGCAGGTGCCCTGTCCTTACAGCTTGCCCCCTCGGCCACATCTGTTGCACCTGCTCCTTCAGTGCATCATTGGCCGCCTGGCCCCTCATCCGCAAGTCTGCACACCTGCCTGTCTCTGCACCCATCCTCTCCCTCCCTGTGCCCTGGAGGAGGTGCCTTCCTCTTAGTCCTTCCTGCTGTGTTCCGAACCCCGCCCCTTCTCACCACCTCAGGAACCCTACTGTTTCTAATGTCCCCCTCTGCCCCACATAACAGCTGACATTTAGTGAGTGCTTAGTAAGCTCTGTGCAACCATGCTGTATCGGGCGGGGCTGTCTTTATCCTGATTTTATTAAAGAGAAATCTGAGCCCACCGAGTCCCACAGCTACCAAGCAGAGGAGCTGGGAAGCCAGTCCCTGCGTGAGGTTCCAGAGCCCATGCTGCTAACCACCATCGTGACCACTTCAGCCCCCTTTCCCATCCATATAGAAACATCTCCCTAACCGCCCCCTCCTCCGAGCCTCCACACCATCTCTCTCCCCGTGCCACTTTTTTCTTTCCTGCCTTCCTGTGACGTGGCCACCCCTGATTTCCCTTCTGTTTCCCTTTGACTTGTCTGGCGGTTCTTTTGTGATCTCCTCCATGGCCTCTTTCTCCTCTACCCGGTCTCTGAATGTCGGGGTCCTCAGACTTGTCCACGGTCCCACTTCCCAGGCTCTGTCCTCTTCCTGGACAATGCTCACAGCTGCCGCACTCGTATCTCCAGGGCAGACCTCTCTTGCACCCCCCACCCCACTCATTTCTAACTCCCTACTCCGCGCCCCTCCCTGCTCATCCCGTGGGCGCTGCACGTTCGTTCCCACCGGCGCAGCCCGAGCGAGAGCTTCTTTCTCCCTGTCCTTGTAAACGGCACCACCATCAACGGTTGGGCAATGCAGAACCCCAGAAGTCATTCCGACCTTCTCCCTCCTCCTTTCTGCCTTCTAGCAGTCTCGGAGCCCTGTGGCCCTGTCACCTAAACGTCACTTGAGCACTCGAGTCCTCTTTTCTCCGGGTCCATGCTCCCCCTGTAGCCCGAGCCACTGAGCCACCGTCAGCTCCTGAGGGTCGGGGCGGGGGGCGGCAGCTGCAGCCAGCGTGATCTTTCTAAAATGCAGATTGAGTCATGGTGCTCACCTGCTCAACACCACCAGGGCTCTCCTCTGGGCCAGCAAGGCCCCCTTCAGGGGCCCCTAATGCCTGTTGGGGGCTCTGGTGATAGTGACGCAGTCCTTTGGTCCATGGCCACCTCTGCCTCAGGAAGCCCTCCTTGGAGGTCTGGGACTGGTCAGGCCCATCGGCTGCGTGTGCCCCTCTGTGCTTGGACCTGTGAGCGGGCTTGCGATAGATGCTCAGTGCTTGTTTACCTGGCTAGACCCCGGCTGCCCCTGACTGCAGGGGCCACCCGATTTGCTCAAAGTTCAGGGGTTCAAAGTCAGGGGTATGGATTTGGGTGCCTCTGGAGGTGCAAGAATATGCATTGTGTCTCAGAGGGAAAATAATTAGGAATGTGGGTGGGGATGAGGGGTTAGGTCTGGGGCTGGGGTTATGTGTCGGCTGTGGGGAGGAGCTCTCAAAGCAGGACAAGAAGGTCCCTCCCCTAGGGCACAGATCTTAATGGTTTTGAAGGGATAAGGAGCTGCCACCCTGGGTCTGGTAAGAGGCCAAGGGCTGGGGCTGCCTGGCTCAAAGAGTGACTCTGCACCTGCCCAGGCCCTGCCCCTATGGCAAAGGAGGTCAGGACGCCCACGATGAGGAGGAGCTGTATTTCCACTGTGAGTTGTCGCCTGCCCCTGCTTAGCCCTCTTCCTTGCTGCCCTTCATGACCCCTCCCACCCCCGGCCACAGAACCCCTTCCTCCAGCCCCTGTCTGTTCTCCCTGCATTCCAGTCAAAGTCCCGACGCGCCGCACGTTCTTAGACCCCCAGAGCTGTGGGGACCCGCTGCAGGCTGTTCATCTGTTTGCTAAGGAGCTGGATGCAAAAACTGTCACACTGGAGAAAAGCCTTGGAGCAGGCAAGCTGGGCACCCAGGAAGCCTTGTCCGTCCCAAGAGCCCCCTCTCTTCCCTCATCCTCACCTCTGCCCTCCAGGCCCTCCCCCATTTCTGGAAGCCCTGCCTTCACCCCAGTCCTGGCCTGCCCAGGAAGCCCCAGCTCCACACCAAACAGGACCTCCACCCACCGGGTTCCAGGGAAGGGGATGGCAGAGGAGTCTGTGATCCTGCCTTCCTACCCTCTCCTCGTCCCCATGGTCACTGAGGAGGCCTCCCCACCCTAGCCCTTTCCCCCCTGGCCTCCGCAGACTGCCACTGGCAGAAGTATAGTCCCAGGCCTTCATGGGGGGGCACAGTGGGGAGGAGCATTCACAGACTTGGGGACCAGACACACCTGAGTTCTAGTCCTGGCTCTACCGCTGACCAGCTGTGTGCCTCTTCTGCTCTGAACTCGTTCCTTGTCTGTAAAACGGGCACGATAGCTCCTCATGCAGAGCGAGGTGGGGACTGCGAAGCCCACGTCACATCACTGGGTCTCAGCTTGCCATGATTCGAACTCGGGAGCCCTGAGCCCCAGGCCAGGAACAGCCTGTGATCCCAAGCTGCTTTCTCCGCTGCTCACCGGGCCTGGGTTGGCCAGGGGGGTGGCCTCCAGGGGACTGAGGTGCTCTGTCCTCACAGGGCGGTTCGGGGAGCTGTCCTTCGGCCGCCTGCAGCTCCCTGGCCTCCAGGAGCTCCCCGTGGCCGTGCACACCCTCAGGGACGGCTGCTCTGACTCCCAGAGGCTCAGCTTCCTGGCTGAGGCCCTCACCCTGGGCCAGTTCGACCACAGCCATGTCGTGAGGCTGGAGGGTGTCGTCACCCGAGGTAGGGCCGTGTCCTCCGCAAGTATGGGTGGAAACAGGGTGGGAGGTGGGGTGCTCCTATGCCCCCAGGCCCTTCCTCCAGCCATGGGATGGGGAGCCCCTAAGCTGCCCAATATGGAGAGAAGGCCTCAGCTCTCTTTCACCGACTCAGGGAGACCCTTCCGACCTTGAATGACCTTTCTGACCTGTAGTGACCCTGTTGGGGGTGGACTGCTTGGACCTTGAGTGATCTTTCTTAGCAAACTTATTGCAGCTCCTAGACCTTGGCCTTTGTCCTCCTCCAGATGCCTCATCTTTTGTTCTTTGGCATAGAGGGTCCTGGGCAGGGGTGCGGCCCACCTGGGGAAACTTGTTTCTGGCTGTCTCAGCTCAGGCTGGGGCCCGGGTGGGGGGAGCATGTGTGTGAGCGGTGGGGGGTGGGGGGTGGGGCAGGCAGCTTAGTGTGTGTGTCCCCATCCCTGGCACAGGAAGCACCTTGATGATTGTCACTGAGTACATGAGCCATGGGGCCCTGGACGGCTTCCTGCGGGTGAGTGGCCTGGGTCCTGGGGGGTACCGCTGACCATGTTAGTCTTTGTTCCTCACTTTCTCTTTGGTGGGACTTGTACTTGGCATCGTTCCCTAAAAAGGGGCCCACTGGCCAGGCCCACCTGGTGGGTCCCAGGGCAAACCCAGAGGGGGCCAGGTGACTTCGCTGGGGTCCCACAGCCCCAGAGAACTGCATGTTCCTCCCACAGAGGCATGAGGGCCAGCTGGCAGCCAGGCAGCTGTTGGGGCTGCTGCCTGGGCTGGCATCAGCCATGAAGTATCTCTCGGAAATGGGCTACGTCCACCGGGGCCTGGCGGCCCGCCGTGTACTGCTCAGCAGTGGCCTTATCTGCAAGATCTCTGGCTTTGGGCGGGGCCCCCGGGACCGAGCAGAGGCTGTCTACACCACCATGGTGAGGGTTCCCTTCTCCCAGGCAAACCTGCCCATCAGACTGCACCAGGGTCCCCCTCACCCACTGCTGCCCTCTTCCCTGCCTTGTCAGGGTCACACTCCCTACAGCCCTGCCCCTCCCCCCACTTGGCCCCAAATGAATGCCAGTGTGGGCATCATTATGTGCCTTCCCCAGAGGTGCAGCTGGGAGGACGGCAGGTGGGGCTGGGTCTGGGGCTCCGTGGGGTGGGGAGCCCTGGGGGTCCTTGGGCCAGTCCCTTCCTGCCCCTGACCTGCTTGCCTGCCTGCAGAGTGGCCGGAGCCCAGCACTGTGGGCCGCCCCCGAGACGCTTCAGTTTGGACACTTCAGCTCTGCCAGTGACGTGTGGAGCTTTGGTGTCGTCATGTGGGAGGTGATGGCCTTTGGGGAGCGGCCCTACTGGGACATGTCTGGCCAAGACGTGAGTGATCTTGGGCCCCAACTCCCTGACCTCTGCCCATTGACCCTTGATCTCTCAGCCCTAGGCCCCTCTTCACTGCCTACTTGCTTCCGGTCCTGCCTGGTCACTGCCTGAGTCTTCCTTGGGATGGGATGTGTGCATGTGTTGGAGGGACTGAAAGCTTCCTGTCTGCCCCTCACCTCCATGGCCCAGGTGATCAAGGCAGTGGAGGATGGCTTCCGGCTGCCACCCCCCAGGAACTGCCCCTCCCCCCTACACCGTCTGATGCTAGACTGCTGGCAGAAGGACCCAAGTGAGCGGCCCAGGTTCTCCCAGATCCACAGCATCCTGAGCAAGATGGTGCAGGACCCGGAACCCCCAAAGTGTGCCACGACCGCCTCTCCCAGGTACAACTGATGCCATTTTGTGCCAGGTTCACTCCCACCTATCCCCAACCACCAGATACAGTTGACCACTTGCCTCGCCGTGAGTGGGCTCCCCATGTGGCCCAAGTGTAACTGCCCTACCTGTCCCACCCCACCTGTCCACCTCACCTGTCCCACCCCACCTGTCTACCCCACCTGTCTACCCCACCTGTCCCACCCCACCTGTCCAGGTAGGGCCGCTCACCCAGTTGCCTAGATAGATCTGATACTCTGCCTGCCTCAGACACATGGACATTGTCCTCCACCTTAGTCATTCTACTTGTCCTGGGTTTTGCCTCACATGTCCCAGTACAATGACCACTGACTGGGTGAATACATGTGGAAATAGTTCGAACAGGTTTGTAGTAGCAATAGATAAAATAAGTGAAATGAGTATTTCTTGTCCCAAGTATAACATGGGTCACCTCCCAAACCGTCCTAGGTATGTCCTACCCCCTAGATACTCCCAGTACCTTTAGCTGGCCCAAGTGCAGCCCACTCTCTACCTACCTGCCCGGGTATCTCAAAACTCACACCTGCTCTGACAATGCCTCACACTCTGTGGAGCCGGGTCTGCCCTGGGGCTCGGTCGCCCTCCCCTTCTCCTGTCCTTTCTCGGCTGGCCTCTCCTCAGGAGAGTGACCAGGTCTGGGCACCAGAACCCTGCTGCCGACTGACCACAGCTCCTCTGCTCCCCAGGCCTCCCACCCCCCTGGCGGACCGTGCCTTCTCCACCTTTCCGTCCTTCGGCTCCGTGGGTGCATGGCTGGAGGCCCTGGACCTGGGCCGCTACAAGGACAGCTTCACTGCCGGTGGCTACGGGAGCCTGGAGGCCGTGGCCGCCATGGCCGCCCAGTGAGTCTGAGGAACCTGTCTGGGAGGGCCCGAGCCTGTCCTAATTCTGGGCCCTTCCCTGTCCCGACGGAGGGAGGGAGAGCAGAAGAGGGTTTGAGCCAGCTGGGTCTGACCGGCCCTTCTTTCAGGGACCTGGTGAGCCTGGGCATCTCGTCGGTGGAACATCGAGAGGCCCTCCTCAGTGGGATCAGCGCCCTGCGGGCACGCATGCTCCAGCTGCAAGGCCAGGGGGTGCAGGTGTGAGCCACGCCGTCCTTCCAGGCCAGGACCCCAGCCCTCACAGGGACCCTGGCACGCCGCACCCCGGCGGGGTGGAAGTGAGCACGCTCTCCCTGCACTCGGGCCCAGAGCTTGTTTGGGACCACAGGTCCCCTCATTTCACTGCCTACTCCTCCCATTTTCCCCAGTCTGAACACCTTGGCTGACTCAGTCCCCCTGGCCAGAGGGTTTAAATCCCTGGGGAGAACCCCTGAGATAACAGCAGGAGGAAATGCAGGGTCCCAGAGACCACGGTGGGCAGGACAGAGAGGGAAGACCTAGCTTTAAATAGCCTTGTTCATGTTTTTCTGTCTTCCACACCCACTGGGGCCTGGGGCCTACCCGAGTGGGTGCCCCTATTTCCCATAGACTTATGGGCCAGTTGACAGCATGGGTCCCTAATAAGCTCCCATGAGACCTGGCAGGGACCACCTCTGCCTGGCAGCCCATCCTGAGGGGCCTGGAGAGGCGAGGTCCTCGGCTCCCTGGGCATGGGCTCGGCCACACTGGTCCTGAGGCCCAGGCAGCGAAGGTGGTGCTGAGCTCCGGGGCTGGACCCCAAGGCCCCAGACTCAGGAGCTGATTTCTGCCTCCCCTGCCCTGGGCTGAGAGTTCAGGGTGAGGGTGAGGGTCCTGGCTAGGCCATCAAGGTTCTGGTGCTCCCCTGAGGCCCAGTGAGGCCTCCCGTTTGCATTCCTTTTGTAAATTCACTGGCCGGGACATCTGAGAAGAGCATGAGGGGAGAGGTTTTCTCCCCGGAGGACCCATGAGCTTTGCTCTTCCACCCCAGGGGATGGTGAAGAGATCTTCAGAGGTGGACCTTCCCTCTCTGACAGGCTCTGAGCTACACTGTGCAGAGAGGAATGACGGAGGCTGGTGGAGGAGTTAGGGCCAGGGCTGGGGTTGGAACCCCTGCCCCCAACTCCCAGTCCAGGGCTGAGGTTGGCTCTGGAGAGAGAGTCCTTGGTCCTACCTTGTGATACCAATGCTTTTCCCCGAGGAAGCCTAGAGGTACTCTGAGGTGACCGCCTCTCGCAAGCGCTATCTCCTGGGCACCCCTCAGCCTCCTGGGGAGCACCTTCTCCCTCTGACTTTTGTGGGGCTCCGGCAGGAGTGGCCACACTGAGCTAACTCCAGAGTTCCTTATCCAGAAGAGCTTCCCAGAGGCGGTGGTGATCGCGAGGCCAGGGCTTTCAGAGGACAACAGGAAGGCAGCTGGATCTGGACAGGATTCCAGGGGCTGCGTTTGTCCAGGTCACCCCTGCCATATGCCTACTCTGGGCTTGGCTGTGTGCGGGTGGGTGGGATGGGTGGGAAGGAAGAGCCAAGGGGGAGGAGAAGGGGATGGATGAGACATGGAGCTGGCCCGTGGAGGGCTCAGCCCAGGTGGGGAGACAAGCTCAGGCACTGAGAAGTACGACAGGGATGCCTTCCAAAAGTGCCCTGGGCCCCACGGGAGACCTCGGGGTCTGTGGGCCGCTGGGCCCGAGGGCAGATGGACAGTCTCGTGATTTGTGTATATGGAGGTGTGTCTGGAAAGGCTTCTCAGCTGAGAGGCTGATGCATACGTTCAACAAGGCTTTGAAGGTGGGGGTGGGGGTGTCTGTCCTTGGGGTGGGTGCAGTTTTGCACAGGCCAAGATGGGAGGGCCTAGGACAAGAGGCATCCAAGCAGAGGGACTAGCATGAGAAGAAGCCGGGAGGCTGGAAGATGCAGCGCCTTTTTGGGGAGCACCCACGGTGGGGGACAGTGCGTCACATCAGTGCCTTTGGCTCTTCTCTCCTTGGAACCCCTCCCTCGGCTCCCCGCCTCCTGGGCACCTGCCCCAGTCAGTGACTTTGAGGTACTGGGGAAGCTTGAGATACTGCTTCCACCCTTGACAGGGCCGGGGGGTCCGTTCCCATGCCAGCTGCCCTCCAGGCTCGCCCCCTACCCCCACCCAAGCCCAGAAAGGCCATGGCGTGAGGACCAGTGTCCCGTCTTGGGTGGAGGGAGCCTCGTCCCCATCTCCAGCTACATCGGTCATGCTCTAAAGGCCCAAGCCCCCTCCCCATCCCCCGGCTATTCTGCAGAGGGACCCCCCTGGCTGTGTTGGCAGGACTTCGGTGTCCAGGGTAGACCTCCCCTCCATGGAGGAGTGAGGTCCCATAATCCTGAGGGGTCCCAGACCTCTGCCCTGCACGGATGCGGGCTGATGGCTCTCTGGGAGCTCTCTACAGATCTATTTTTATATGGAACTTGTTCACTGGACAGAGGGAGGCGGCCTGCAACCCTCCAGCTCCCCCATCTGAGCCCATCCAGGGAGGGAAGGGGCTGGTGGTGGGGGGTGGTTCCTTCGACTAATTCTGGACATGTTTTTATATTTCGTGGGTTCTATATGCAGGACAAAGTAATAAAAACTTATCTGTGATATGGTACCTCTTTCAGTGACAATTGCTTACCCATTAAGATCTTATGTGGGAAGTTTCCACCGTCCCCCACCCGCCGTGGGGTGTCTCCAGAGTGTGAGTCTGAGGTCTCTCTGTGTAGACATGAATTGAACAGCCCTTGCCATGAAAGATCTCCCAGTCTAGGGAGGGTGGCCCGGGAGCGGAGAGAAGGAGCTCACCTGGTCTCGGGAGTAGTAACCCAAGGGGGGCAATACTCGGGTGGTGGTGCCATTTTCTGAGATCGACAGCACACGGGGAGGGGAGCAGGTTGGGTAGGCATTGTGGGGAGGAAGGCGGGAAATGACACGCTTGGTTCTAGATGCGTTTGAGGCGTGCAGGTGGAGATGTCTGGGAGATGGGTGGGTGCTGGGCCTGGAACTTGGCACAGACGCCGGCTAGAGGTGGAGCTCTGAGGGCCGTGGCTCCTGGGGGTGGGGGTGCGGGTGGGGGGGTGAAGCCAAGTGAGAAGGAGGTCGCCCTGGGCTAGCCCCGGCGGGGGGGCACAGGGAGCCCTGAGGCAGTCTGCCACTGGGAGACAGAGCCTGAGGGGAGCAATGGAGCGAAGCCAGGAAGCAGTCAGCCATGGAGGCGAAGGGGCAGTGAGTGGGGCTGTGAAATGCGGGGAAGCCGCGTGAGCAGAGGTGGTGGGGGCCGCTGTCAGGGGCTCTTACCCGCGCCGTGCTGTTCCCAGGGCTGCCTCACGGAACGGCAGGCCCGCAGCTTGCACCACCCAGCTCTGCTCAGTCCCACAGCCCCCGGGGCTAGAAGTCGGGGAGCAGGGTGTTGGCAGGGTCGGCTCTTCCCGAGGACTTAGGCCTCTCTGCTGGGCTCTCAGACGGCCGGCTTCTGCCCGCGTCTTCACCCCGCCTTCCGTGTCCACATTTCCCCTTTCAGAAGCACGCCAGTCGAACCAGACTGGCCCACCCGAATGACCTCCCTGGAACTTGACAACCCCTGTAAAGACCCCGTCTCCGAATAGTCACTTTCTGAGGTACCGGGGTTAGGACTTCCACCCATGAATTTCGAGGGGACATAATTCAGCCCCTAACAGTGGCCTTAATCGTGGGGGGCAGAAGCCACGTGAGAGGATCGAGGAGTGGAGCGTGGGGATCTTTGGGGGCGAGCGGCAAAGGGAGGAAGGTGGGATAAGACAGTGATCAGGGCGGAGAGGGGGTGCGGGCTGAATGCTGGAGCATCGCCTGAGTGCTCACACGTGTGCACGCACATGCACACATACACACACACACACACGCACCACGTGAGCCCTTGCCCTTTCCGGCTTCCTAGTGCTTCCGCTCTCCCTGGCCCGGGCTGTTCGTGTTCACACCTTGGAGAAGGTGTCGTATTTATTTGCTTAGGCCAGGGGAATGCATGGGGCTGGGGCTGGGCCAGCGGGGTGGCAGTAAAGAACACCCCTTTCCTCCGTTCCTGTGCTCGGAACCAGTTGAGCACCGTTCCCTGGGACAGACGGAGCCCAAGATACCGGCTCCTTGATAAGGCTGGCTGGAGAATGCTCCTTACCATGTTTCTTCGAATCTAAGATGCTGTTGAGTGTGAGATGTACCACTAAGAAAACGTCACAGCCAATTCAGCTGTGTCATGCCATCTGTTTGGAAGATGCATCCGGATTTCAGAGACGTTAACATGGATAAAATGTACATCTTCGATAAATGAGTTGTGCTGTGCTGGGACAAAGGGCCTTTCTCTGAATTAGACCCACCCAGTCCCAGGCCGAGCCAGGAAGCTGCAAGCCTCGTCTGCCCGGGCGGCTTTGCCGGACCCAGCGTCCTGCAGGGTGGGGAGCAGACCGGCTTGCACCCTGCTTGCGAGTGGGCGGACCTGCAGGAGGAGCCAGGTGGCGCCAATTCAAGCAGGTGGTTCTGTTCAGGAAGTCGCTTCTGCCCCAGGCGGCGCGGAGTGAGCAGGTGGGGCCGTCAGCAGTGTTGCTCTGTGGAGGTCTGCCTGAGCGGAGGCATGGAACCGAGGAATGGGGGACCCCCACCGACACTTCACCCTGCCTGCACGCAGTAAGTGCTCGCTAAATGTTAGGATTAGCAAGGTGTAGCAAGGTGCATGGGCGGACGTACAGTATATGGTGGGGGATTGAAAGGAACACCTCCGGGCAGCAGGGCTGCTGGCGTGGTGTGACCCGCTGTTTGGTCGTTCGGTGAACCCAGCTCCCACCCTGTAGCAGCCACTGGGAAGTTAAGAGCTCACAGCCTAATGGGGGAGTCAGTTAAGTAAAAAGCACGAAATGCACAGCCACAGGGATAAACCCTAGGTGTTGTGGAAGTGCTGGGGGAGATGCAGGAGGGCCCAGGGGGAAACCGTGGAGTGCCTTCACCGCCCTTACTAAGCATGAGTGCGTTCTGGGCTCAGCTCCTCCCTCGCATCGTCCCCTTCACACCGCTCAGGGCTCGAGCAGAACTCCTCCCTGTATGGAGCCCTCTCTTTAAATCTCTTGATGCCCTTCGCCATCTAGACTCAGGCTTCTGCCAGTATCTTGAAAGAACCCGGCTAGTCTCCTCAGGGTTCCTCCCTGATGCCTACCAGCATCTTGTGGGCAGATTACGGTTCTCTCAAGCCTCACTCCAGGCCGTATGTGTGGACTAAGACTGCTCGTGGAAGCTGAAGAGAAAAACTAGAAAACCAGAACGGAGTGTTTCCCTGCTGCAAGCACCTTAGACCCGCTCCCAGATAGGCTGCATCTTGGCCCTTCTCCCTTGCCCACTGCACTCATCCTCGACAGTCCGCTGGGGCGCGGTGAAGAGAGACACAGGACCTTCAGGTCCGATTTGAAGACGTGTAGCCTTGGAGAGTGTCCTCTGCCTCCACCCTGGTGGCTCTTAGCACATTGTGGCACGCGGACCTGAAAGTTTGCAGATGGGGAGCTGGGCTCTTCCCAGTATCTCGGTGCCAAGGCTGTGTTCTGGCCTCCACCATCTGCATCATCTGAGGATCGGAAGATGCCAACTTCATAGACCCTAAGATCAACTAAGGGAAAGATGATGGCAGAGTGTAGAAGGCAAGTGCAGATTACAGCTTACAGCGGGGATGGGGGGTGGTGGGCACTGTTTAACCGGGGAGGTGATGCAGGCGGGGGAGGGGGCGCTGGGGTAATGCCTCATCCTGTGGCAGGGAGGAGGCAGGCACCTGAGCCAAAGCAAATTGGATTCCAGACTCCCATGGAGTGCAGAGCCCAATGTGGACCCCAGTTCTGACCACACTCTCTCCTAGCGTCTCCAACGCCTGCCATTTCTGAAGCCTCAGGAATGATCTACTAGTAAAACCTTCAGCACATACGTGTCATGTTGTATTTTAGGTGTGGGTCAACAGCCGTCAGTGTGTGAAATTAGAAAGGAAAACACTCCCCAGAGCTTGTGCACATGTGGGCGCGGAGACAGTTTTCCATCACACGCAAACTCATCGGTGGGAACGGGGATCGCAGTTCCTTTGAGCTACAAAGTGTGTCTGACGCCGTGAACGAGCGACACTTAGGTGAGGTCCTACCATTCACATCCCAAGAACTAGCTCTTCATACGATAATTTAACCTAACTCTTCGTAAGGCCTTACGTTTGGAATTCTTTCAACAGGAAGCCCCAAGTAGGGCTTCTGGAAAGATCAGGAAGCCTGCAGGGCCAAGAATGAACCTGGTGTTTATTGAAACTCTAGGACTCGGGCGCCTGGGTGGCTCAGTCGTTAAGCGTCTGCCTTCGGCTCAGGTCATGATCCCAGGGTCCTGGGATCGAGCACCACATCGGGCTCCCTGCTCCGCGGGAACCCTGCTTCTCCCTCTCCCATTCCCCCTGCTTGTGTTCCTGCTCTCGCTATT